GTGGTGGAGTGGTGGAGTGTGGTGGAGATATGCGTGGTGTAGTGGTAGAGTATGGTCTGTTAGTGCGTGGTGTGACTCTCGTTAAGTACACTGCTTTATTATTATTAAAAAAATATTAAATCATATTTTACCATTAGCCGTCATTTTTCAAGTCCACGATAGACGACTGACGAGCTTCGTAATAATATGAATCTTACCTTTGTTAACCTAATATAAAATATCATCATGATTTCTGCTTAGGTTTGACAAGTTCAACGCCAAGTACAACCCGGTGGGCGAGTCTCGTCTGCGCGAAGTTTTCCTCAAGACCGACAACTACATCGGGGGACGCTACTTCGCAGACATCATCAAGGTCTGCTTTTCTTTCATGTCTGTTCATCATTTGCGCTTATTTCAATTTCGCAGACATCATCAAGGTCTGCTTTTCTTCCATGTCTGTTCATCATTTGCGCTTATTTCAATTATCTGCTTAAATCACACATTCTCCAAGAATTTCAATTTAATTGTCTGCTTAAATCGCAAGTTCACCAAGAATTTCAATTTAATTGTCTGCTTAAATCACACGTTCTCCAAGAATTTCAATTTAATTNTCTCCAAGAATTTCAATTTAATTTTCTGCTTAAATCACACGTTCTCCAAGAATTTCAATTTAATTGTCTGCTTCAATCGCGAGTTCACCAAGAATTTAAAATCAAGTGGCTGATTGGACTTGTATTGTATAGATGTATATTTTAACGTTTGGTGGAGCTGGTTTTCAAAATTTTCATGATGACCTTGTTAATAGACTTGTTTTTTTTTTGTTTTTATATACTTTATGTTCATCATTTCGCCGACATCATCAACATCTTCATCACCATTATGTCGATTCATCATTTGCTTAATAAATCACCATTGTCATCGTCAATTAAAGCTTGCATCGTCAATTTGCACTCGCACAAAATGAGGTTTAAACCAGAACCATTACACCATAACAAGCATACCACGCCTTGGAAAAGTCGGACTGGTATCGTTGTTCATCCTGCCCACAACTCCCAATTTGCTAATTACAATAATAATAACAATTATAATAGTAATTATTATGAATTGGTCTCAATCATACAATCACATGCACTATATAAGAGGTATGCAGCTAACTGTTAGTGTACAGGTATCGGAACTTTTAACTCGTACGAATGTTCATCATAACCCCCAGCTCCTAACTTGCTAAAAACAATAAATATTAAGAAAAATATGCATTTATTTCCCTACCATGACGTAACAGGAGGTATGCAGTGATCTGGAGTCGCATTTTCTCATTTATGGAAAAAATGCACTATTGTGCTCGCCATGTCCGTCTGTCAGTCTGTCCGTCTGTCCGTCCGTCCGTGACCTCAAGTTTTCGTCAACGAGAAAATGCGCTTTCTGTCACTCACTGCAGTGAGTACTGAGTTATATTTTTTAATTTCTTGTTGAACTCGCAATATAAAATAAAATAATACGATATACCACAGTCCAATACGATAGAATTTAATATAATACGAGTATAATATAATATAATGTAATATAATATTTTACATTACAATATAATATATAATAATATTATAGAATACAGAGACTTCAGCTGGGATTAGTCCAAGTTGGCCTGTAGCCCTTTCTTAAGGGCTACAGGGCCAATTTGGGGCTGATGGGGCCATCAGCCCCAAAATAGAATAAGTGTTATCAATGTTTGGAAAATCATCAAAAATACAGACAATTATTGAGTATGAGGCATTCGTACAAGTTCAATTGTACATATAAAAATGGTTCAATAATACTCGTCAAACTTTTATGTATCTTGCGTGCAACGAGAAAATTTTAATCATTTACACATCACCAAATTTGAATAAATGATTAATGTGTGTTGCATTCATTCTTAATGAAATGGACTATACACTATTTGGGTAGGAATAACTTCAATTATAAAGTCATAATTCATCAAATTGAACTAATGAATGCTTTAGAATAATTAAGAAAATATATAAAGCTTTAGAACTTTCATTCAACTTTTCACAGTCCCTTAAATCTTGAATATGCACTCTTCTTTAAATAAACTTCGTTTCGATCGTACTATTGTTAAGAAAACTTAATTTATTTTTTTTTTTGGCTTTAGATTAAATTATCAAACCAAATTTAAAGTTATTACTTTGGAGTAAATTACCATTCATATCTCATATCCTAACCTCCCCAATTTAGTGACATCTTCAAGACCAACAAGTATTTGGACAACTTCGGCGAAGTGATCACAAACCTCTTCCGTCCTCTGTTCCGGGTCTCAATAGACCCCAGCTGGGACCCTGAACTACACGCGTTCCTTCAGTACGTCATTGGTTTCGACAGCGTCGACGATGAAAGCAAACCTGAGAATCCTATGCTTGACAAGGATACGGTTCCTCCGCAACAGTGGGATGTCCAAGAGAATCCCCCGTACGCATATTACTTGTACTACATGTACGCAAATATGTGCGTACTAAACCGGCTCAGGGAGAGTAGGGGGCTTAAAACGTTCGTTCTACGTCCACATTGTGGAGAGGCGGGAGCCATCCAGCACCTTGTCGCAGGATACATGCTCGCCGATAACATCTCACACGGTCTGCTGCTGAGGAAGACTCCTGTGCTACAGTTCCTGTACTACCTGGCCCAGGTTAGTTATTACAAGTGCTACAGTTCCTGTACTACCTGGCCCAGGTTAGTTATTACAAGTGCTACAGTTCCTGTACTACCTGGCCCAGGTTAGTTATTACAAGTGCTACAGTTCCTGTACTACCTGGCCCAGGTTAGTTATTACAAGTGCTACAGTTCCTGTACTACCTGGCCCAGGTTAGTTATTACAAGTGCTACAGTTTCTGTACTACCTGGCACAGGTTAGTTATTACAAGTGCTACAGTTTCTGCACTACCTGGCCCAGGTTAGTTATTAAAATAATAATAACAATAATAAGCCAACTTTCACGGCACAGCTTAGTTATGTTAGTGATACCTTTGCTTCATTTATTCTACTATCTGGCACAGGAGAGCCTTTTATGACACATTTTAGTTATGTTAGTGATGCCTTTGCTTCATTTCTTCTATCTGGCACAGGTGAGCCTTTAAATGACACATTTTATTTATGTTAGTAATGCCTTTGCTTCATTTCTTCTATTATCTAGTGCGGGTGAACCTTTTATGGCTCAGCTTAGTTATGCTAGTGATGCTGTTGCTTCAATTCGTCTGCCATCTGGCTTCGGTGACACATCAATTATACACTTGTTTGTGATTTATTGTAATTACAAGGCTGTGATTGTCCTATTGCTTGCCACAGATGAGCGAATGATGGCTTACCCTCAATAAATACACGTAAGTTTTGACAAGCCGATATACATTATAGTTAAAATTTAAAACTCTTACGTTACAAGTTCAAAACTCCATTATAATTTCAGATTGGCATCGCGATGTCTCCGTTATCGAACAATTCCCTGTTCCTGAACTATCACCGCAACCCTCTGCCCGAGTACCTCGCTAGAGGTCTGCTCATCTCCCTATCTTCGGACGACCCTCTTCAGTTCCACTTCACCAAGGAACCTCTCATGGAGGAATACTCTATCGCCACGCAGGTCTGGAAGCTATCGCAGACAGACATGTGCGAACTCGCGCGCAACTCGGTGCTTATGAGCGGCTTTGAGCATGAGGTGAGACATGAAATATTATGTTTAATATATGAATAATTTTGGCAAAGCATTGAGCATGAGGTGAGACATGAAATATTATATTTAATATATGAATAATTTTGGCAAAGCTTTGAGCATGAGGTGAGACATGAAATATTATGTTTAATAAGTAAAAGCAATTTTGGCAAAGCAAAAGAATACCTATGTTTTACGTATATATAAATAATTTTGTTGAAGTAAAATATATATTGAATTGTTTGTTAGCACTGTACTTGTGTACAGTGGTACGCAAGTACAAGGTATGTACAGTGGTTATACTTATTTCCACGGAATTACTATTATGTCCACTGTATTGGAAAATTGTTGTAAAATTGAATAAATGTTTTGAATTTAATCTTTGAATTTGAAACTTGAGCTCAATTTATTTGGAAGCATTACAAACAAATTAGGACCACTTTCACAATTATTCTAATGCCGCATAATTAGTTTATTTCTGTAAAGTATTCGAAAAGTTAAAAAAATCAGTTTTTCCTCACTTTACTTCTTTCCACTTATCATCAGATTTATTTTAATCAAATGTTATTTNCTTTGAGCATGAGGTGAGACATGAAATATTATATTTAATATATGAATAATTTTGGCAAAACATTGAGCATGAGGTGAGACATGAAATATTATATTTAATATATGAATAATTTTGGCAAAGCTTTGAGCATGAGGTGAGACATGAAATATTATGTTTAATAAGTAAAAGCAATTTTGGCAAAGCAAAAGAATACCTATGTTTTACGTATATATAAATAATTTTGTTGAAGTAAAATATATATTGAATTGTTTGTTAGCACTGTACTTGTGTACAGTGGTACGCAAGTACAAGGTATGTACAGTGGTTATACTTATTTCCACGGAATTACTAATATGTCCACTGTATTGGAAAATTGTTGTAAAATTGAATAAATGTTTTGAATTTAATCTTTGAATTTGAAACTTGAGCTCAATTTATTTGGAAGCATTACAAACAAATTAGGACCACTTTCACAATTATTCTAATGCCGCATAATTAGTTTATTTCTGTAAAGTATTCGAAAAGTTAAAAAAATCAGTTTTTCCTCACTTTACTTCTTTCCACTTATCATCAGATTTATTTTAATCAAATGTTATTTAGCTGCACTATGACGCAGACAAGAATAATTCTCAAGTTGCGTGCTCATGGTTACATTAATTTTTTTTTCATCTACGACTATCATTTATTTCATTATTAATGTCTGATTTATTTTTGAGGTCTCTGGCCCGTGTCCATATTCGTGAAGCATTTGGTGTCCATGGCTTTTATGTTTACTGGATTAATGTTTCGTGTCTGAACTCATTGATATGAACGAGCCTTTCGTTGTGACTTCATATCCACGCCTGACCTCATATCCACATCGTACATCATATCCACTCTACCTCTTATCCATCTTAGACCTCTTATCCATCTTAGACCTCATATCCATCTTAGACCTCTTATCCATCTTAGACCTCTTATCCATCTTAGACCTCATACCCACCTCAGACCTCTTATCCATCTTAGACCTCATACCCACCTCAGACCTCTTATCCATCTAAGACCTCTTATCTTGCCTGCAGCTCAAGAGGTTCTGGGCGGGTCCGAACTACACGAGGGAAGGCGTTGCTGGCAACGACATCAAGCGCACCAACGTGCCCAATATACGCGTGGCTTACAGGTACACGTAGCCGCCTAAGTGCACGTAGCGGTCTAAGTGCACGCAGCGGTCTAAGTACGCGTAGCGGTCTAAGTGCACGTAGCGGTCTAAGTGCACGTAGCGGTCTAAGTGCACGTAGCGGTCTAAGTGCACGTAGCGGTCTGAGTGCACGCAGCGGTCTAAGTACGCGTAGCGGCCTAAGCATTCGTAGCGTCCTAAGTACACGTAGGGGTCTAGTATACGTAGGACCTAAGTGCACGTAGCGTTCTAGGTACACGTAGCGTCCTAAGTACACGTAAGGGTCTAGTATACGTAAAGGCCTAAGTGCACGTAGCGTTCTAAGTGCACGTAGCGTCCTAAGTACACGTAAGGGTCTAGTATACGTAAAGGCCTAGGTGCACGTGGCGGCCGAGTTCTTGTACGGGATTGGTGAGTTCAGTTTAAAGCTGTCAGTGATTGGCTGACGGAATCGCGAACTCTTAAATATTCTTACGTACTCGTAAAGACTAGAATTAACGCAATCTAACAAATGAATATAGCACACATAAACAATAAACAATATAAATAACAATACACAATACTACGAGAAAGGCCACCACTATATCAACACTGAAGATGAACACAATAAACAATGCAAGCACTAACCTCTGTGGTGGATCTCATAGCAATGACAAGTTACAGGGCGGGTCTAAACGAGGTCACGTAACAGTAACTCAAAACAAAAATAACAAAATCCGTAACCTAACTATCGATGAAACTATTATATTTAAAGGCGTCCCCTAACAACCTCCGCCTCGTGCACTCGAGAATTTCCCGAGAAGACACGAAGTCACATTATGGAGTGCAGTCATAAGTCGTTTCAATGGCTCTCTGTTTGACTCAGGGTGTTATGTTCACGTATTAACTCGCCTGTGCAGCAGGTATGAGCTCTTTTATTTTGTTTTCTCTCTCTGACTCAATCTGTATTTTTCACGTATTAACTCGCCTGTGCAGCAGATATACGCTCTTTTATTTTGTTTTCTTCCTTTGACTCAAGCCGTATTTTTCACGGATTAACTCGCCTGTGCAGCAGGTATACGCTCTTTTATTTTGTTTTCTGTCTCAGACTAAAGCCGTATTTTTCACGTATTAAATCGCCTGTACAGCAGGTAGGAGCTCCATTATTTTATTTTCTTCTTCAGACTCAAGCCGTATTTTAACGTATTAACTCGCCTGTGCATTAGGTATATGAGCTCTTTTATTTTGTTTTCTGTCTCTGACTAAAGCCGTATTTTTCACGTATTAAATCGCCTGTGCAGAAGGTATGAGCTCTTTTGTTTTGTATTCTTCCTCTGACTCAATCCGTATTTTTACGTATTAACTCGCCTGTACAGCAGGTATGAGCTCTTTAATTTTGTTTTATGTCTCCGACTCAAGCCGTATTTTTCACGTATTAACTCGCGTGTTCAGGTACGAGTCTCTCGTAGAGGAGCTAAAGAACATCTTCAGCCACGTGGACCCACCAGCAGACCACAAGTCCAGGTCTGTCGGACTGCAGTCCCCTGGTGTCTGCAGCCCCCAGCCCAGCAAAACCACCGCTTGCCAGACCGAACAGCAAACTAACGGACAGACCACGCAGCAGACTGAGAACGGGGTAGACCACCAACACCGTGTCAATGGCGTCAAATAAATTATGATGTCGAATATCGTCTGAATTTGGCCTTGATGAAATTTAGTTAGTTAGTTTAGTTAGTAATTAGTCTTCCCTATTCCTGATAGTTGAACCGTCTTGAAGTATTATCTTTTGGCTTATGGCTTGGGTACAATATAATGAAACATAGTCCATTGTCATATGGTTCGAGTTGATACCTCATAGCACTGTCACCATATATGATGTAGCTGTGTCCATTGTCATATGGTTCAAGTTGAGACCTCATAGCACTGGCTCCATATGATGTAACTGTGTCCATGCCATATGGTTTGACTTGAGACCTCATAGCACTGGCTCCATATGATGTAATCATATGATGTAACTGCGTCCATGCCATATGGTTCGACTTGAGACCTCATAGCACTGGCTCCATATGATGTAACTGCGTCCATGCCATATGGTTCGGCTTGATACCTCATAACACTGATACCATATGATGTAACTGCGTCCATTGCCATGTGATTCGAGTTAATGCCACATGAAACGGTTCTTGACAAGGAGAAATTTAAAATTCGCTAAGCCTTATATTTTTCATCTTGCTACCCAATGATAAAATGCTATTTATTGATGTTTATTACCTTTTTACATCCTTTAGTTAAAAGGTTGTGGCCATGTTGCTAACATCACCTCCATCACACAGGGCTCTCTTGAATCCCATTTGGATCCTTATGATGCTTTTTTTAATTAATAAATAAATAACTTGTATTCATCAGTATTTATCATTATCATCAGTTTTTACCATTGATGTATGGCTTAAATTGTGATAGTGTCATTCTTGAATAGGTTTTATTTCATCTGAAGGCTCTCTCATGTCATTTGGAGTAGATTTTGTCATGACGGAAAATATTTCAGTACGACATCTTTATTAGAGTGCATCGACACTTTCATATCCAGACGTACGAAGAAATAAGTCGAGGAAATGGAGGTTGTGGAAAAGGTACATATTCATTCAATGTTTTAAATTAATGTTTTATATCTGGAAGATGTTTTGATGATGTTTTGAAAAAATATCCTTAAAAAAGGTGTTTTTGCGTAAACATTCAAGTTATAATAGTATTTTGAGTCAAAGAAGGATACTGTCCAGGTTATTGATTCCTGTCGATATTTGATTTCCGTCATTCATTTATTTGCATGTGGTTCGCCTATCATGAATAAAGATGAGGTAGTCAGATTGTTATTAGAATTAGTTACTTTACGATTTTACACGTTTGATTTAATTTGTTTCTTAAAGTAAATTAGTAACGCTGGTATGTGCGTAAAACGATTGCGCGTCTGATCGAATGTTCATTAACTTTCAATTGTTAATAGTATCTTTTCTGCCAATTAGGATTTTCCTTTACCGTGTTATTTTTTACCGTGATTGATTTAAAAGATGGAGTAAGAAGGAGTTGTCACACATTATATTGAATCTACGGAAATTTTTTCTGTGGCTTTACCATTTCCTGCTTGTTTTTCTTTTATTGAAATCGGCATATTTTAAATGCTTATTCATACCGAACTTTTGTTATTTAAAAAATTGAGAATAAGTTTGTTATGAACTTTGCACACGTGTTTGGTGAATTTAGGCACTGAAACCCTTTACCAGCGAAAAAAATATAGCATCATAGGGGGAATCGATTTCCATTGAGTCGCATTACAAAAACTTGTAGAGTTTTAAAATCTTATACAAAACTTTATAAGAGTTGTTAAAAAAATTATCAAGTTTTATCTCATCTATTGGTTTTTTTAATTACCCTGCATTAAATTTCCAGCGCGCGCTCTAAAGATAAATATTTTCCTTATATTAATAATATATATTATAAAGACCACTCTGAAATTATTGCAATCACATGATGTCACCCCAAAATTAATTACATTATTAATATGATAAAATGAAATTATATACGGTTGATCCTAGATTTCAATTGAGAATATAATACTTCGCGAATTCATCCGTTTGCATATACGACGTTTAGAAAATATCTTAAATTGAAAGAAAAAGCCCAAAGTTTCGAAATTTAAATCGTTTATCAGTAAGAAGTGTTGGAAAATTATAAATGTCCGATCATAAGTTCTAGGATAAAAAATTATTTCTCCACAAATAATAAAAAATCGATTCTTTGATTTGAATTGGAGCCACAGTTCGAATTTAGAACTCAAACAACTATAAAAAAAGAAAATATTTTATAAAGAGCATGAAACTGAATAGTATTTATTATAAACATAGCATTTATATATTAAAAGTATTCATTTATTATGTAATTATTTTATTATGATCCATGAGCTAATCTTTTTATCGCATTTGATCATAAGTTTTGTTTTAGAGAGGGTAGTTGAGAATATGTTATATATGCATATATACAAATATTACCACACAATACAATATGTATGGTAAGGTACCACACAATACAATATGTATGGTGAGGCACCACACAATACAATATGTATGGTAAGGTACCGCACAATACAATATGTATGGTAAGGTACCGCACAATACAATATGTATGGTAAGGTACCACACTATACAATATGTATGGTAAGGTACCACACTATACAATATGTATGGTAAGACACCATACAATGCAATATGTATGGTAAGGTACCGCACAATACAATATGTATGGTAAGGTACACACAATACAATATGTATGATAAGGTACCGCACTATACAATATGTATGGTATGGCAGGTTTCGGTGTGGTATCTGCTTATTTAGTTATGTTATGCCGACCGTACGAGGAATTAACATTTTTTTTAAACACATTGGAACAAAAAGTATAAATAAATAAAATTAATGTATATCATTGAAGCCGAGGAAATAAAAATTGGAGTATACAGCAATAATGATAACAATCTACGAAACATTATGAATGCAATTAAATTCTGATGCTAAGCTTAGTCAATATTTAAAAGAGATCTTAGAAGAACTTAATTAAGAATCTAAAGTGACGTTAACTGTAATGATAGTATGATAATCTAGAATAACACATCATGGTGAAACGTGCCTGGAGTCTATGTTTAATTTGGAATAGTCTATTTAACAATAACTGTAAGAAATGACTTTAGAGTGAATAACGCAAGTTTCATTATTTGTCATTTCCGTGTTTTTTTTCAAATTTTAAGAGCTATATTGCGCAAGTTTGCATATTTACCTAAACCGTTGTTTCTTAAGCAAGTTTTCATTTTTGGGAAATTACTTCCATTGAAAAAATATTAACTTATGTACCAATATCGCAAATTATTTATTAAATTAAAAGTCTGTATAAACCTCTATGTAAACTACCTAAACTTAAACCTAACCTAAACCTAAACCTAACCTACCTAAACCTAAACTACCTAAACTACCTGAGATTTGATAAGTTAGAATATCTTTTCCAATTTGTGAAAGCCATGTCCCGTAGTTGTATACTTTTGATTATTAATCGTTTAGGTTATCTTTTCCAAAACGTTTTATATAATAAGGATTTATTTTATCCTGAAATTTTAATCCAACAATTTATTTTTACATCGAAAGTCTGTTACTCCTTTTCGCCCGTAAAAAATTTATTACATATATTCTTTGAAATTTGTATCCTAATATTTTATAATCATCAGTCATACGACTTCCTTAATTGCTGAACGATGCCTTTGTGGAGCTATTATTCCATTCTATTCACCGTAAATTACTAATCTATATACAAATTACTATATAAAAAAATATAATCAATCAACTAATCTTAGCTTCTATTCGAAGTAAATTCTATTCTCTTACAGAGCTCATGAAGCTTCCACTACAAGCTCTCTATATAACTCAACATTAATATATTTCTTAAGTCTTCCAGTAAAGCGTATATAATCATTATAAGAGCATTTGAATTCAAATTTTAAAGTTACACTAGTTTTCTTTAATATTTTGTGACTTTGACTGAAAGTTTGAAGCATGACCAGTGTGTAAAACTACAATCATTTTGAACTTTTTTTCCATTAATTGCTATACCAAAATAGAGTTAAATGACTCAAACTAAAAATTAAATAATTTAAATCGATTATGCCAAAGTACTCTATTTTAGAAAAATCTAAAATTCTTCGAATGAGGACTTTTCTTCTAGAAATTTTATTCATATAAGTATTAGGGTTATACGAATTACTTGTATGTCAATAATTCTTTGTCAATTGTTTAGATATGGAATGCCAGAATAAATATGAAGTTTGCGCTACAGGGAACATTAATTTCTATAAAAATTCTATCTATCGAATAGAGCTTATACATAAATACATTATCATTCAAAATAAATACATTATCATTATAAATACATTATCATTCAAAAAAGCATGTTCAAGGAAATACATGAAAAACATGTCTTACATCATTCCCTGCTCGTACATGTTGGATCGTATGTGTCAATAGTAGTTTCTGATTTGTTTTTTTAGACAGTTGAAGGATAATGCAAATTACATAAACTGTAAAATTTATGTATATTTAAGATATACTCTTCTTGCGCACATGCTATCTAGACCTTGCATAGCCTATATGATCAAAACTGTGTCTTCAGAACTCGCCTTTGCCTGTTCAGCCGTTTGGTACGTTATTATTATTTGGACGCTGCGCGAGCATTTTATATGTTCTTTAAAATTGTTTATTCAATAACTTGATTAGTAGTCAAGATTGTACCAGTTTTTTAAATTTATTTCAGTAACTGTTGAAAATTTCGGACGAGTTTTCATTCTGAACAAACCCTACGAACCCTATATAGATTCATATTCAATAGAATAGAAAATATTTTTTCACTTTGTTACTTCATCGATGAATTTCGATGCCAATAATTCATCCCTCGTTCACTCATTTGTCCCTGAAAGATAAATTTTTCAAGAAAATTTACCAATTTCTTGTAAGAATAATGTTTTTTTCCCGAAAGCTCACATACTTATGTGAGTATGTGAGCCCTTCTTATTCTTATTCTTATTCACATACTTATTATATTTATTCAAGCCTTGCAACACTAATGCGTCTTTTTTATTCCACTTCGGCAGTGAGATGTTTCCTCATTTCCCTTACATTATTTCGGTCTCGATCATCGGGGAATCCAACGTCAAATTTCCGATCTTTTCTTTCTTCGATCCACGAAATGAACTTGTATCCTGCAGACCATAACAGCGGAGGCAGCAAACCGCATACGAACAGCACGAAATAGCACGCACTGTACGAACCTGTGACGTCGGGCAACACTCCTGCCAAAACAATAAACACGATAATGTTGGTTTTTGACAAAAAAATCCATAATGAAAACGGAAAAAGTATTTGTTTTAACAATTATCAGTGTCTCCCTGTATACCTAAATGATGAG